CGGACTGAAACAGACTAGGATGGAGGACCTGACAATCTACTTTGGAAAAAAATTAGCCACTGAATTTTTATGAATAGCAGTGGAGCACTGACAACAGTGCTTGAAAATGGAAGGCACTTCTCAGGTTGGAAGGCACTTAAAATATAAGAGGGGAGGAGCTGGAGTCCCTGGAAAAACACCATGCTTGGAAAAATAGAAGGTCAGTGAAAAAGGAAAATCCTCAGTGAGATGGATTGACCAGATGGCTGCAATAATAGGCTCAAACACAGCAACAATTGAGGATGGCACATGACTGGGCGGTACTTCTTTGTAGTGATAGGATCACTGAGTCAGAACCTACTCAACAATATTACCAAAAACATGACCCTAAACCCTGGGATATAAGTTGGCTGATAAACAAAATTCCTTGGTTCTTACCAGGATTGGTGGATGAATATCCATTTACTTGAAGGTAAAATAGGTATTTAAGATACATAAGATACAGTGTTTGTTATGCCTCTTGACTTTAAAACCAACTTTTCAAATTTACCAGCTTCCAGTTCATATTGCCCCAGATAACATGGTTTCTGTATGTTACACAGAAATTAAGCATAAGCATTAGATACGAGTAATGGAGCAACTGAAGACCAGAAGTGATCCTGACTGAAGAATCTTTTTTCTTTAAATAGTCCATAGTGCTGAAAGTTTATATGCACTCTTTACTGGGGATCAACAACCAGGGTCTTTGCCTCTAAGAAGACGAGCTCTAATATATTAAAGATGACTTGGCTACCGTGAGGCAAGATGACTGAAATCCTGGCAGCATCCTTTTCCTTCTGATACGCCAGCCAGGTTTTTGGAGCCGTTTCCATTTTCTCCTTTCTTCTCTCCAGGAGCAGATGTAACTCAGAAGAAAATGAAACAAAAACAGCTTGAGGAGACTAGTGAAGGCTCCTTGCTTTTAGCTTAGAAATCTCTTTGCCCCCAATAGCTCTTGCTCACACAAGCAAGGAAAAGAGTTATGAAACAATGGTGTTCAACGTGAGGGGCCTCCCTGCAGCATTTCTTTTCCAAATAACTATGTGGTTCACATCGTTTATTTTTGTTTGAAAATCAGTACAAGCTCATAGTAAAAGCTTCATACAACGCAGAAGGATAAACTGGCATGCTATTAGCGTAGCCTTGGGCAAGATCCATAACCTCTCTGAACTTCAGTATTTCCATTTGCTAAATATTATAACAACTATGCTGCAGAGTTGCTGTAAGGGTGTAATAACACGATCTATGTAAAAATGCCTTTTATTATTATTACTTTATGGGTCCTACAGGTCATATTTTCATACCTTTCACCAAAGAATAATTTTCCAATGGTGAGAAGTTTGTTCTTTCCCAGCAAGTTGGAAATATTAAGGGGGACACACATAAGAACGGTAAGAGTGGAATGGGACACTGTCCAATTAATCAGTAAAATGAGCTGAATCAACCGTGATGCTCAGTGGGATGATGTCACAGTCACATCACATTCACATTATGCATTCACAGAGACTACAACTGAAGAAGCCATGGCCCATCACTCCAGACCTATTTTTCAGTGAATCATGAGTTAATCTTGATAATGGCAGAAACAGCCACCCAAAAATCTCAATCTGGCAATGTGGGTGCCACATCTCCCTCTTCTTTCCAATCAATCAAGCAACTCTGTTGACTGAAGCCCTACATACGGAATGTCCCAACTTCTTTCCTTTTCAGTCTCTTAAGCCTTCAACATCTCAAATGGCTTTTGCAAATACCTCTAATTGGTCTCTTCTCATCCAATCCATCTACTCCCCTCACTCCCTACTCCCCAATCCATCCTTCATACTGTTAGTGAAAATTCTAAAATGCGTAACTGGTATCAAATCTCTTCCCTACTTAATTTCCTTCACTAGTTTATAATCACGTGCAGTGCAAATGTCAAGTTCCTTAGTGTCTCGGGTATGTAGTGTTTCTATAACAGAAAGCACAAGTGAGTAGTTTGGGAGAACAGAAATGTATTTTCTCACAGTTTAGGAGGCTTGTTGTTATGTGCCTCCAAGTCAATTCCAACTCATAATGAGCCTAGGTGATAGAGTAGAACTGCCCTATAGGGTTTATTAGGATCTATGGGGGGAGCTTTGGTGGTGTAGTGCCTAAGGCATTTGACTGCTAACCAGAAGGCTGGTGGTGGGTTTGAACCACCAGCCACTCCTTGGAAGAAAGACTGGGCAATCTACTTCCGCAGAGATATCATCTCAAAAACCCAAGGAGGGGTCACTATGAGTGAGATTTGACTCGACGGCAGTGAGTTGAGTTTTCAATCTTTATGGGAGCAGAGCAGATTACCAGGTCTTTTCTCTCAAGTAGTCACTGGTGGCTTTGAACCAACGACTTTCCAGTGACCACTCAGCAGCCAAGCACTTAACCACTGGTGAGCAGGGATCCTTTTTAGGAGGCTTAGAAATCCAAAGTCAGAAGTCTGGCTCTAGCAGAAAGCTCCCTCTCTGTTGTCTCTGGGAGAAGATCTCTTTCAGTTTCAGTACACTCAACATTTCTTGATTTCTTGTCATTCTCCATTTGGTGGGGTTTTTTCCCTCCGCTTGTGCTAGCTTCTCTGTGCCTAATGCCTTTCTAGATCTCAAAAATGTGTAGGGTTAAGACACAACCTATATGGATATGGCCTCACACAACAGAGAAAATCCTATTTCCAAATAGATTTCATCCACAGATAAACCCCAAACCCACTGTCATCTAGTCAGTTCCAACTGGGCTGTAATCAGTAAGGCTATGATCTTTACAGGAGTAGACTGCCACCTCACTCTCCCACAGGGCAGCTGGTGGGTTCCAACTGGCGAACTTTCAAGCACTTAACCACTGCAACACCAGGGCTGCACATGTATGAAACAAAACCAAACCCACTGCTGTCTTGTCAATTTTGACTCATAGGCGACCCTATAGGACAAAGTAAAACTGTCCCACAGGGTTTCCAAGGTTGTAAAAATTACAGAACCTGACTGCCATATCTTCCTCCAGTGGAGTTGTTGGGGTTAGAACTTCCAACCTTTTGGTTAGTAGGTAAGCTCTTTAACTACTCCACCACCCGAGCTCGCTTTCCACAGGAATAGAGGTTACGATTTACAACACTTACTTTGGGGGACACAATTCAATCAATTTAGCATCCAAGTTTATTACATGAGACACATAGCAAAGTGCTTGAACAGTGCCAGGCACACAGTACTACAGAAGTTTTTGCTATTATGATGATGATTATTATGATGGCCACCTGGTCACCGCCTTTTCAGTGTAAAACACTGCCATTCCCTTCTGTTGCAATCATTGCTCATGGTTTTCCAAGCATACTGTGCTATGACACACCTCTGGGATTTCACACACACACTGCTCCACTTTTGAGATGACCGGGTTGTTCCCATGTGTGAAACTCTTATTATCTTTTAACTCTTCCCATCCCTAAACTATCTGGGGTTTCACAGCCCCCTTCCGTACATCAGATGGTTAATTTCTTCCAATTCTGTGCAACCTGTACCTTGTGATGAGTCTCTAGTTGCACCCACCAGGATGGATTCTGATTTGTTTATATGTTTCTCTTTCCTACCAGGTGGTGAGCTCCTAGAGTGCAGGGGTTTTAGTTATCCCAAGCACCTGACTAAATTCTGGCACTAGTAAGCATATAGCAAAATATTTGTTTGAACAAATGAAAAGTATAGGTAAGAATATAAAGAATATTTTATGAAATAGAGAGAAATTCCCACTTACGCAGAAAAGAGAAGTCAAAACATGGAGAGCCACAGTTTAATTTCTAGTTACAACCAATGATGAGCCTGATAAAGCAAAGACTATATATATACTTAAAGAGACCTTGACTTTGGGATTAGAATGCCTGAATCACAGACCTAGATCATAGATAGGAGCTTCCATCAGTTACTTAACCTCTCTGTTTTCTCAGATTTCTTACCTATAATATGGGGATCATAGTAATAACAAATGTTTTTAGTAAACCCAACAACTTTTCGTTTGCGAAGATCCCTTACTGTACAGTAATAAAGGTTTGGAGCAGCCAAAAACAGCTAAAGTGCAGTTGGAAGGCCAAAGGATCACGAAAGACGTAGGGTAGAAGGGGAGGAGAAAGTGGCTAATGTGTGCTTCCACCACAAACAAACCCAAACTCACTGCCCTCCAGTCGGGCCGACTCATAGCGACCCCTCCTTGGGTTTCCGAGGCGACATCACTACGGAAGTAGATCTTCCTTCCGAAGAGTGGGGGGGGGGGGGGTTTGAACCGCTAGCCTTCTGGTTAGCAGTCAAATGCTTAAGGCACTAAACCACCAGAGCTCCCAGTTACAGATAGGTTAAAAAACAAAAGCAAAAAAAGGTACCACTTTCCGAGGATAAACATCCCATACCCGTTAAGGGACTCTCTACAGGGCTCAAAAGAAATTCAGTCCAGAGAAAAATGTTTTCTATTTTGTTCTCTGTACTGAAAGATTATGGAATATGAATTACCCTCTCAGTTACTCTAAAATGGAGAAATAAAATACAGTGTACTTGAGAGTTAAATATATTTTGATTATGCTTAAAACAATCAAATCTTGATCCATTAGTGACAGGTTAAGTGTGGTATGAGGGGAATCAATGTACTTTGGGGGCAGATGGGGGAATTTCATTCCACTTTCTGCAAGGGTTTCCGGCGCTTCTGTAGTGTTGGGGAATGTGAAGGTTGCCCCAGGAAGTCTTACCATTCTCATTCATCTTCCGAACCTTCCACGCAGAACACCGCCGCCAGCACCGCGCGGAGCTTGTAGTCTTGCAGCAGCAGTAGTCCCCGGTGGTTGCCCGGCGCGGGGCAGCGGGCGTCCAGCTCACCCCTCCCCGCGCGTCACGTGCGCGAGGGTGAAAACGTCCCCCTCCTCCTCCGCCCCCTCCTCTCCACCGCCACCTCTCCTTCCTCGGGCTCCTCCTCTTGGCGGCGAGGGTGTGCGAAGCAGACTGCTCGAAGAGGAGCGAGCGAACGGGCGCGGCCAGGAACCCGCAGCCCTGGCGCCTGCCGCCGCCTGGAGCCCCGCAATATGCCGCCGCAGCCCTCTGGCTCTTGGCCATGGCGAGGCTGTGCCGGCCGATCCCTTGCACTCTGCTCCTCGGCCTGGCCGCGGTGCTGCTGAAGGCGCAGCTGGTCCCCGCGGTCGCCAGAGCCGAGCTCAGCCGCTCTGACCTCAGCCTCATCCAGCAACAGCAGCAGCAGCAGCAGAGGGAGAAGGCTGAGGAGGAGAGCCCAGAGGTGCCTGGGGCATCCTCCACCTCGCCTGTTCCAGGTAGGTTTTGCAGCCTGGCCCTGCCTTTCCATCTCGGCCAGCGATCTTAACTGTCGTTTCTAGCTTCTTCACCTTTTTCCTAGCCAGATCGCTTCCCATCGCCTGATTCTACCGTGGTCCCCATCTCCCCAATCTCCCCCGACTGCCTGCCCAGGGCCCAATCTCTGCAGTGGTGTCGGGAATCTGCCTTTTGGACGGTGAGCTTTCTGGGAAGCGCAGAGCACTGCAGTGGGGTGGGGAGGGGTCGGAATAGGTGGTGGTGGTGGGGTGTGACTGCCTCGATTGGTCGTGTTCTATCCCTTCCCTTCTTCCTGAATCCTTTCCTTTGCCCAACAACTGTACACACACACACACACACACACACAAACACACTACACTTCTCAAATCCCTTTAGCATTTTGTTCTCTATCCTTTCCTCTGCTGTTGTTGTTGTTGTTTGCCGTCGAGTCGGCCCCGACTCATAGCGACC